AATATTAGATTATTTATTATATTTTTATATTTTAACACATAATTATTTTTATATTTATTTAAATTCATTTACATATTTTAAAAGTCAAACAAACTGATTTAGTTATAAACAAGGACAATGTTTTTTTTTTTTTTTTTTTTTTTTTTTATCGTTAAGGATTTTTTGTATCAGTTTGTACACTAATTTCTTACTAATTGAGTTTAAAAAAGTTTCCTATAACCTAAATTCAAGTTTATAACAGGAAGGATGACGTGAGAAACAAAGTAATTAAGTGAGCCATCACCTTAAGAATTGGAGTGAGATCCTCCCGTATTTTTAACAAATATGACCATCATGTTTTCAAAGCTAAAATATTGAAGGGTCATGATTTAGTATACGAAAAAATTAAAATAACTTAATTTCTTAATATTTTATTTTTTTCACCTAAATTGAATCATTAAATTTAAAATTAACAGCAAGATTTGAAATATAATCTATCATATTTCTTTAGATCATGACCTATCATTGAGTCTAAGTAAATCTAGCCTGGACATCATAGTCAACAATACCGACGGAGGATCCAAATCCAAGGAAATTACTGGGAAATTGATGTGAAACTAAATAACTAACTCGTAAGAAAAAAAAGGTACTAATGTATCTCCTCGAATTTTAGATAGGTACTGGTTATCTACCCGCGCTATGCTAAGAATCGGACAAAACATATAGAACTATTTTAAAAAATAATTTTAATTTTATGGTCCGTGCTATATTGTGGATCTATCAAAATATATCAAATCAAAAATAAAAAAATATTTTTAATTTTTCGTTTAACTAATTATTCATTATGTTTTAATAAATTTTCTGTCAAAAAGAATATGATTTATTCCTTCATATCATGATTCTTAACTAAAATCTTGTAAGCTAATTTAAAAGTCCATGAATTTTTAACTCAAAACTTTTCTTATAATTTTTTTTCCTATAAAATTTGAGACAAATTATTTAAAAAAACACTCCTTCTCTTTTTTTTTTTTATAGATAATCATGCTATCATTATTTAAAAATTAAAAATTCTAAGAATTCATTATATAATTTTTTTAAAGCAAATAATCATATTTCAAAAATTCGCACATACACACACACATATAACCATGCTGCCACCATTTAAAAATTAAAAAAGAATCCATATATAAATTATAACAAAAAAAAATTAAGATCAAATAACGGTATTTTAAAAATTCATACATAGATATCTCTCTTCTCCCTTCTTTTTCTTTATTTCTCTCTCTTCTTAGCCCTTAGAGATCAGATTATAATACAAATAAAACTGTGAATATAAATAAAAATTATTAAAAAAATAATAGACAAAAGGACAATATGAGCAAAAAATATGTATAAAACATTGAAAAAACTTCAAAATTACAAAAAAAAAAAAAACCACTCAATGTACAATAAAAGGACGACGTGTTGTAGGTGTATTAAATGCTTTAAAAACCACTAAAATAAAAAAAACGCAACTGATTTAATTTATAAAAATATCATCTAATGAATAGTATTTTGTTAGTGCATGAACAGTAAAACACCCTTACTTGTGTAATTAGGCATGATTAATATATATATATATATATATATTACAATTTATTCAATATTCCAAAAATTCTTTGCTAAGGGCTTCTATTTGTCTTTTGTTATTGCAAAAAAAGATGTGATGTGGTTTTGAATCTTGATTTATTAAGAATTATCATGCACACAAATAATCAACTAATTTTTTATTATTTTATTAAAGGGAAAGTTTAAAGCTTCAGAAGGCAATTACATAATACACGCTCTAGAAAAATTATTTCCATATATATCTTTTAATACATGTGTAGAATAAAAAAAGCTTGCATTTCTATTCATTAATATTCTTTTGGATAAACTGACAAAAAAACATCTCAACAAATGAAAGAAGCAAACTTCAAGATGGAGCATTAAATGCTCCTTAGAAAAAAAAATTAAACTGACGAAAAGGCCATAAAAAGCAAGGTAAGAAAGACCAAGGAGAAAAGGGCAGAAAGGTAACTTAGTGGGAGGACAAAATGGCATTCAAGCAATTAAACAAACTACTGAAGGGCATAAATAATCCATGGTAAAGAAATTTAGTGTCAGTATAAACAAATGAAAGAAATGAGAGAATAAGTGAAAATGAACGACGGGCAAAGAGGTAACTAGAGGGACTGTAAGAAATCGACGACTAAAATAAAAAAAAAATTAGAACAATGCGTCACAGTCACAATCCACAGTACAAATGGGTAAGGATAAACACTTTTTAAATAGTGAAACCACCATCTGATTTATTTTTTTGTAATTATCAAGTTTTATATAAAACTATTCAGATTTTAAAAACAAGATCTTAATTTAACAAGTGTTAAAAATATTTATTTATAAATAATTGAAAATAATCTATTAGAGATTATAAAATAGTTGAGTAATAGAGCATATGCCAAAAATCTAATAACCTTAAAGGTTTAACTTCCACGTCGGGTGTTCTGAAAAAAAATAAAAATAAAAAATAATCTAAAGGAATAAATTCTCATGTACGGTGATATTTAGATTGGAACTTGTAAAGCGAAGCAAAAGAGCAATTGTCTTGACTATTAAGTCCTCATAAATCCTTTTTGCCTCTTAAACCTTTAGCTGGTTCATTCACTGGTTTCCCAATCTAATGGGGTCCAGGTTGGCCCTTGATTTTGAACTTTGTGTAAGCCTGGCCCTGTGTACCGATAAATCATGTCAATCGCCGTTTGTTTTTACCAGTTACAAGCATGTGGGTCTGGACCGTACTCTCTTTGCTTTGCCGAGGAGAGAAGGATAGAACACAGGGAAAATAAAGGATTTACTTGCCCGTTCTTTCTTTCAGTTTCAGGTCCTCAGCCGTGTTCTTTTTTTATTTTTTATTTGGCGTCACTAAGCATCTATTTGTTTGTTTTTTTGAGTAAATATTCAAGTCAAAATAGTAATTGTACTCTTAATTATGAGGGATTCTTATATCCAAAAAGGTTTTATTCGGTACTCTTGAATTATTATCACAGGAAGCGGTATGATGGCTGTGGGTAGGATGGATAGTAGCAGCAAAGTAAATGCCGGCATTGACAGAGGCAGATGCAAGTTCCGTACTTTGTTTTAAGACAATCTACATAATGATCAACCAAACATTCAAGAAGTTAGCTTCTTCTTGTTTTTTTTTTGCCCTGTAGATGAGACTTTATAATTCATATAACTTTTTAGGCATTAAAAGATTAACATTAACAGTTAGTAGTTAGCAAAAATCGAAAAAAAAATCATATTATTATGACATATTGAATTGATTAATATTAAAAAAAAATTAAAGGTTACTTTAGCTTCTTCTCGTAATAAAGCTTTTTTTAACCTCAGATTTTATTAAGATTTAAAATCTATATCTATATCAATATATCCACCATTAAAACGAATGTAATTCTAAATATATATTTTTTAACCAATAATACTTTGTCATCTATTAAAAGATTAACATATACATTGAGTCTTTTTTGTCACTCGTCAAATATATATAAAAAAAGAGAAAAATTAAGGCATTGACACTTAGTTTAAAAAAGAAATTTATGAGAATTTATTTTTAGTTTTTGGATAAAACGTGTTTACTCCGGTTAATCAAATAAGCCTTTTTGTTATCATTCTAGTTAATTGAATCTTAATATTTTTTATTTCAGATAATCAAATACAATTTGTCAAATAAAAAAAGATAATGTCCAATGAAAAGAATAAGGATGGCGGGATGAGTGATGATATTAACGAGAATGAAAGAAAAGTCGATGATAGTGACTCAAGTGGTGAAGAAAATTACTCAATTAGTTCGAGACAAATTTTCAATTTTAACAAATTATATTTGTTTGACTGAAATCGAAAATATAAGAGCTTTTTTTTTCTTATCAAATTGAAAATAAAAGGATTCTGTTGATTTAAATTAGTGAAAAAAAAAACAAGTTGCATATAATCAGATTAGCCGAAAAATTTAACTAAATTATTTGAATCACTATTTATTAGTATAGGTTTGTTACAAATTATTTTTATTTAAATTAATTGAAAGATCATGTTATAAGTTTTAAATAAATATTAAATATTTTTTTGATAAGATATATAAAAAAAACCATTTCCTATGATCAACCAACATCAAAATCCTTCAAATTATTCAAAAATTTAGAATAGTATAAAAATTAAATTATATACAGATATTTGAATGCCCAAAATAGTTGCTGAGGATAAGACTAATTTGAATATATATATCTCCGATGCCCTCTGTATAAGATTAATTGTAGGCCCACAGGCCCAAAGGGGTCCAGCGATACCTGGTGCACCAAGTGGCCTCGAACATTAACTTGTTAAATGCTTCGCGACAATTTTCATTGCCAACGTTCATGAATGAAGAGCATTCTTCCTTGTCAGCTGTATAGGGACTCCACTCCTAAAATTTTGGCATTCTTGTGTGTTTTTTTTCAGCCGAGTTTCAAAAGTTTTAGGATTTTCACATAGATTGTGTGATTAAATTATAAATAAGTTTTTATATATTTTATTTTTAAGTTTTGCAAAATGAATTAAATGGTCTTTCTAGTTTTAAAGACAAATTAATTAGCTCTTTTCATCCATTTCATCGACTTTTCTATTTTTTTTTTTAATTATTGAATAAGGATAAGAAATAAATAGATAAATTAATGGAAAAATTGAGGAGAAAAGATGGCATTTTTTTCAAAAACAAATTAATATTAAATTAAACACATAATTAGAAAGATGACTTGATGTGTACTGTTGCATTTTATCTTTAGGCTGTTTCTTGTTGGATTGACAGGTTAGTAGCTAGAATGAAGAACCATGGAGAAAGACCAAGCAAAGGCATGTTTTAATTTCTCTATAAAAAGAGCAAATACAGGAGTGAAAATCATATACCATAAAATGGTCCTTTATTTACATCATCGTATTAACATTGGCAATTCTGAAGAACCTAGGCCAAATTAAGATGCAGAAGTATCAAATGACAATTTCCTAACCAAGAGGCACGTGAATTTTGATGGTTGGGCACGTGCATTATCAAGTGTACACAACACGAAGTCAGGCTGGTGGAGTGCAAGGGCCAATCTGTCCTCTCCAAAAACCAACCCCGTGGCATCAAGTAGAACATGCCATGAATTTCTGTGTGCCTCAGATATCCAATGCATAGAGTATCTTGTCTCATTGACAATAGCAGGATAAGAGAGAAGCCCCTTTGGGATGTGCTTGCACTTCCTTCTAAAATATTGACTAAGCTGTGATCCTTTAATCCTCAGGTCCAACCAAGTTTCTGGCATTGGAATAACCTTTGATTCTTTACAAGCAGCAAATTCACGTATCATATCACTTTCTTCCCCAATCATTGTCATATAGTAATTACCCCTGAAGAAAGGGTAGCTCCCTCCAACCATCACCATAGCATCCTTGTAGCTGGGCACGAAAATGACCAAGTAATCAGCTTCACTTAGGCCACAATGTTTCAGGGCTCTATTTTGTGCTTGAATTTCTGGGATTGAAATGAAATTGCCTGGAAAAGAAGTTTTCTTGTTAAAAATATCTAGCAGTCTTGAAGCCTCCAATTGTGTCCTGCTAAGATCAGATAGGCTGCGAGTGAGTGAAGGCGTGGACTCTCTAGCGCCAAGACTCATGGGGGAACCACGCTTATTCTCCAGTGTGGTTTTCGACGATTCCTCACCGATGCAAAGATTAGTAAGATCAATTGTGTTATCTCCATCTACCACAATACCATTGCAATACTGAGGGTACTTCGCAAAAACATACTGCCTCACGTATTGCATTTCACTATGGGTTATTGGTCCAGACCATCTCAGGTCAAGGCCACGGATTGTCGACATGGCTTCGGCTATCAAATGAGCTGGAATTATGGTATGCGCCTTCTGTTCACGTCAAAAATTCATCAGATCACACTCATTTAGCTAGAAACTAATACCAATCATGTGATTTATTTAAGAGAAAAATCCACACAAAAGATCACTAGGACTTGCCTTTACAACCATGCTGCTCGGTCTGCTACTCTGTGTTGGTGAATTGGATACAGAAGATGAGGGTGAATCTTCAAGTTTTCTTTCAAGCAGATCCTAAACAGTTACAAAATAATCAGAAACCTCACTTCAGGATTTTGCAAGCAAATATTTAGATGGGCTAAGGGAAAAAAAAAAAAAAAAAGCTTGAACATAAATAGGAAAAGAGAGCACCGACCTTGGAATCTACATTTAGCATAAACTGCTCTACATTACCCAGCATGATTCCAAGTGCCTTCTAAACAAGCTACGTAGACTAAAAAATTTATTGGGCTCTAAATTTAAGCAGAGAAGAAAGGAGAAAGCGTAAAGAACAAAATCACAAATGTAGATGTGAAGACCATCCACTACCAGATAAACATATTTTGCAGCAGAAATGGGTCAAATGGGTCTAATAAAGAAATTGAAAGACACTAGGACAAAGAGAGAAAGACCTACAAGTTACGACAGCAGTTTCACACAAGATGGACAGATGAAGCTGCGAAACAATGACTCAATTGGTGCAATAACAATGCATCCACCCAATAATTGAGGGCTATGGCTCATTTATTTATTTATCTATTTGCAATGTGAGTTTGGCAGAAAATTACAATCATCCATTTGGACTAATCAACCACTTTTATCTATCCTAGTTGCAGAAAAAGATGTGGAAATATGCAGTAGCATCAACATACATATTATTATCAAATTGCAGATACTAAATTGCTGATCACTCACATTAATATTAAATTACAAAGAGATGGCGACTGCTTGATCATTTAAAGACGTTAAGAATAAATTATCATGTCTATGGTCCACTCATGTAGCATGGATACGCAATAGAAACAGGTAAGTGTGGGAATCTTTTTGGACTGAGAATGACTGGTCATAGAGTCAATCTAAAGACTAATTTGAAAATGGTATATCGTATGGGAGATGCTTCTTTGATTACGTTCTGTAGGCACCGCGACGTTGCATCTTTCAGAATTAAATTATTAATAATTCATTAAAAGATTGATTTGTTCAAATTGTACTAGAGACCGATTGGACTAGACGATTCTTGTCACAGAACTATTCCAATTTTGAAATTTGATTACAGCAACACAAGCTCTTACCCTTCTCTTTCCTACTTGCACTACGTGTGTGCATATGTAATTCTGTCTCCATTGGTGCATTTTTAGTAGATACTAACTTATAGAACTTCTCATTGTTCAAACTACTTTTAAACGAGGATGGGCTATTCTGAAGCAATGCACATCATGTACTAATGACAATTAATAAGATGATACAAACAGTATATTCTAGTGATTGTCTGTTTTGTAGCTTCTTTGAGTTTCAGTGATTCGATATTATGTAATGAAAAAGAGCTAGATAAACTAGAATCACCTGGAATTCGAACACGTTTGTTGATAAGACACTGTTTTTGAACAACATGGGAAAGGGAAGGAGATGATACTTTCCATCTAAGAGAAATCGAGGCAAGAGTTTTGAAAAAAGAAAAGATTATCTGCAAGTCTCAGTAATCAGGCTTAGCCTCTAAACTGAAAGTGCTAGTCTTCTTAAAACTGCAAACCAGTAGCCGCATGGCAGCACTTAGGTGACCGTAACAACTCTGTAAGACCAGTCATACACTAGGTGAATTAAAACTACCGACAACCAACAATGCTGGCTCCACAAGGTTATGTATTTGGAGTTTTATTAAAACAGCATCTCTGCAACCATTTTCCAAAGATTCACCTCCAATCAACATTAAATTATAGCCCGTAAAAAAAAAAAAAAAAAAAATCATATCTCATACTACTATATGATATCAAACTTTTAACCGAATCTGATGTCATACCGCATTCCTCGGCTTGACTACTGTAGCAGAAACAGTATCTTATAAAGCTTGATAAATGTTTGAAATTGTTATTAGCTTGACTATAAGAACAACACTAATTATTAACAAAGTTGTCCCACTACCACTAGGTGCATGCGCTAGTTGAGGTCAAGAAACAAAGCAAACCAACAATGGTCTAAACTGTTGTCAGCAACTGATGTCAGCTTGAGACCCATCCAAGGAAGTTACAAACAGGAGCAGGATCGAACATGCCAGTCCTACGTATAAAAAAGGGAATGATCAATATTGCTAGTTTTGTGATGGCAGATCCTTGAAAATATGAGACAAAAACATAGCTAAGACGCGTCCTAATTATGATGCTGCCATGGCTACCTGGTGTTGGGAGGCGGAAATTAACATAAGGTCACAATTACCTAGATTTCTCTCCTTACTATGCCGTGAGGAATATGCCAGACGCCAAACAACTCAGAAGTTCTTAGTATCACATTTTCTGGAATCTGGACTTCCAGATAAGTTAATAAAACATAAAAACCCAATTTTAACATACTCAAAACAACACTTCCTGCCTTTCAAGTAATTTCAAACCACAAAAAGAAAATGAAGAAATAAATTCATTAACATGCTCAATATAGTTATTATCCATAGCCAATCTGTCCATTGTAGATCCAGCATGAAATTACAAAAGGTATTTGCTGCCTATTTTGTGACTATCACATCATTATAATTTTCATCTCAGAGAAATATCTAACAAATCATATTGAATCAAGATTTCTTAAACTAATAACACCTGCGCTTATCAAAGATCATAACTGGGACTGCGGAAATCTAAAAAGAGAGGCAAATTCAGCTCCACATATCAGCATTCTATACAAAACAAAAAGGAGTTTCATACTACAAAAAGTACTTCATCCGATCATCTCTCCTCATGGCATTGTATACAGCTTGAACCTGGCAGAATTAGAAGTTCTGTGTCAACAAATTATCACCAGGTGTAACTGACACCATACCCAAAATAATCAACATATCATTTAACATTTATTAAGCGTAAATAAATATACCAATGAAAATCCTTTCCATGTTGACCATTTGACTTTTCAGTGATCTCTAACGAAATGGCCTCTAGTATACTGTTTACTTATATTGTAATACATATAGCTTTAAAATTGTGCATATATTATTCTAATTTGGGTTAACTGACTTTAGCCTAATAATTGTACTGTTGTCTTGATTGGTTCTTGATGTAATTTGTAAACCAATTTGCTATATTATCCTCAAGAAGTTGGAAAAAAAAATCTAGGGAATATTTCCAAAATGTGGTAGAAATATCAGCCCTTTTTCCTTCGATTTCGGTTTCCATAATAAGCTACATAAGATATCTCATCAATGTCTTTAGTGGGCTTGAAAGAAAGAAAGAAACCTGCTCACTAGAAACAACTTGAACAGGACCAATGTTGACTGACACATATTTGCCCCTCGAAGATACTTTCTGCCTCACTTGACCCTGGGACAAAAGGTAGCTTAATGTAATTAGATACTTGTTTATTGAACAGGCTCTAGGTGGATGATTTCAACTTGTTACACAGATTCAGCAGTCAAATAAAAGATTGCCAAAAGGGAAAAAAGGAAAAAAAAAAGGACCATCATCAAGTTTTACTATCGATCACAGTTATATTTATTTCTAAAAGACAACAAGTCTTTCTAGAAAAGGAAAGCATTTTGAAACAATCAGCACCACTTTGATCGATCAATTTCTTAATTTCTTCACACAGCAATCGCTGAAGAAAAACAACTTCACCGTGTTCTTAGGTCAAAAGCCCCATATTGACTAAATTACAATAAATTGACAGCAATTTCAGTTATTTATTTATTTTGGTTTTCCTGGACAGCTTCAGTAACATAAATATGCCCTTAATAAAACATTTCTTACCATGAAAAAGACCAAGAACCAAAGCATGACAGCAAGATTGACATATCCGTAATAGTAATCTTATTGAGAAATTAAGCTTTCTTCAGATACAGTTCCTATTGTTCTCTAACAGTTTAATGGCGAAGTCAATCATCAGGGTTGCAAGAAGGAATACAGAAATTGTTTTTTAGCCATATTTCAAGGAACAATAATGACGACAGCTACAACATCTGGCATCTGTTTCACATTGTAACGTCAGAAAAAATTACAAACCCTTTGTATTTGCCAGAAGCTTCCAACACCAGCCCTTATAACATCTTTGACCACTATACTTTAGCCCCAAATGTGCATAACAACCAGTTCCAATTTGTGTTTTTAATCAGGCCTTCCTCATTATGACTTGTGATCATTAATCAATAGGGTTTTTATGGCCTGCATATTCTAGTCCCATCATCCTAAGCTTTAAACCAATGTACTTCAGATCCTAGACTCACCCATGCTATTTGCTGAGAAATTGTTTGGTAATGCACCACCTGTGGCTAAACACAGCTCATGGCAAGGCACTCTTCCATAATTGCAAACTATTTGATGGGAAAATTCACTGCTCACATGCTACATCAAGGTTGCCATCATAGCAGGATTGTGTGTCATTCCCTCAAGCTGGATGTGGACAAATAAAGGTGCTGACATCATCTGCTTACCGATTGTAAAACTAAAACCACGTTTCCTTAACCTATCATATCAAGTCTTGAAGAACTAACCAAAGATAGATTAAGTTGGTTCATATTTTCAGATATCTGCAGAGAAATTTCCAGTTGGAAAACACAAATAAGTTAAGCCAGTCACTTTCTTTAAATACCCTTGCCTTCTATCTTTACAGGAATGAACAATATAGATTACCATTGCAGTCTCCAAAAAATTTATAGTATCTCTAATATCTGGACAAAATATGTTATGGCCAGTGATTCTCCAACTAAAATTTTCTTTTATTGATTACGTTAGACCTGAAGAATGCAATCAGTTAGAGGAAGCAACCTTGAACTAATCGTGTGAGTTGCAGAAGTCAACCATTACTTTCAATCACATAGGCAAAATGCACAACTGAATACAGAATGTTCTGCCATCTACCCTGGCAAGCATAACATGCAATTGAAAAAAAGTTGTACTCTGTATTGGCAGACAATAAGCACCTCTGCACAATAGCTGTGTTCCAAAGCATCCATTACTTTTCACATGTTTATGAAAAATTCCTATGAGGTTAGATATTGGACGATACTGCTCATAATATCTTATGAAGGAGAACTTATTCTAAGGATATATAAATAAAATCTTAAGCAGAAAAACTTTAATATATATATATATATAAAGAGAAAGGATTCAACATCAACAAGAAAGGACACAGCACATGTCTCCTCACAGTTTACTTCTTTTTATGCACCAGATTCTTAAACATCTTTTCTATTAATGATTTTGGAGCAACAAGAAAGGACATATACCTCAGGGATTGGTTGTTGGATTACAGATTCAACAGCAATAACCATAGATTGCACAAAATCATCACCTCCTGTACCAATTGCAGTAAATCCTCTAACTGTTGGATATGAGTTTACCTGGCAGGTAAGTAATACCACGGCTTAGATGCCAAATTGTACGAGTTTGATGAACACATAACAACAGTGTCTACAAGATCAAAACTTCATCGATTCTGCATAATAAAAATAAAGACTAAATTGTAATAATCTATGCTTGTTACAGACCTTCATAAGCAGTTATGATTACTATTATTTACATTAAGATAGTGTCTAACAAGTCATAAAATCAAAAGGCTAACAATGAAAGGGGAGTTGCAATAAAGAGAGGTCAAGTGTTTGTACCTTCTTATCCAAAGCAAGCCATTCATTAGTAGAATCATCTGCAACCGTCCCGCCAATAACCACATTTGTGGTCTGTCCTACTCTCCCTTCTGTCTTTGACACCTCTGGATCATCAACAAAAGTCTCCATCTCCATCAGTATGTGACTCTATGCTTCTCACAAATTATAACAGCAAAAATAATGTACAGCTATGTTTAAAATACAAGAAATTTAAGCACCAGAGACAAGAATCATTGGCATAACCAACTCAACCAATCAATTTCAAACTACTGCTTAGTCAAATCAAGTTACTGAATAGATTTCAAAAAAGACATTTGGATGTCCTTAATTAAAGCATAAAATCAAAATCCTAAGCTGCTGTACGGATACCGAATAGCATAATCCAATGGAATGTAACAGAGAAATTAGCTCCTCCAATTACGTGCCGTTATTTCTAACAAGCTACTTGCCAGACTAATTATAATTGGCGTTAAATTCATTAACTAATTGACTATAGTTTGTCAAAATTAAAAAAAAAAAAAAAAAAAAAAAAAAAAAAGTAAAATAAAATTTGAAGAGAAATGGTAAAGAAAAACAGCAGACAAACCAGAAATAGCTTTAAGCACAGCTTCTTGAGGGGGTTCTTGATCCTGGTCATCTTCATTGTTATTATTACAAGAGCAGAAACAATTAACATGAGTTGGTCTTGGTCTTCCAAAGTGATGAAATTCAGGAGCCCTAATGCTTGTTTTTTTACTAGATGAAAATCCAACGGTTCTTCTTGATGAGCAAGAACAGATGATGGCTCGATTTTGATGGAGGGGAATTATCCATGGCTCTGTTGTCAAAACGGAACGAAACACGCTCCTGCACGCCATTTTTTTTTTTTTAATGATGATGGAGAATTAGCGTTAGGATTTGGCGTTTAGGGGGCTATTTATATATTTGCGCTGTTGGGTATAAGGCTTTTTAAGTGTCCATTCAATTAGGCAGATTTTTCCTCTATCTTTTACTGACGTGGCTGCGACCGCGGTGCCGTGAGCGAATGGTCAAAAGTTACCCCCAAAAAAACCAGAGATCAAAATTATCCCTTTTTAAAAGTCAAAATTATTTCACTATCTTTTTTCATTCTGAAACATCATTACCACTTAAAAAGTCGTAACTTATTATTTGTTTAACACAAACAGAAATATGAAAGGAGGATACCTAAATTTCGTTTAGACGCAAAAGTTTTGTTCCATTTATTTCATTTTATTGTCTCTCGTCAAATTCGTGGTAGAAAATTCAAATACATGTCCCTGAACTACCATTTGATGTTCGTTTGTGCGTAGATGCATACCTAATTCCACAAACCTTACGGACGAGTTTCTTTCAAGATATGAAGAGGTTTTCAAATCTCTCGTATTGGATTTAGCATGTGGAAAATGAGATCCTGGACGGTGGTGACCTTTTAGGCATTTGGTCATGCCGCAACAGAAACATAGTTTTGTTTTGAGAACTGAGTCGATTGACAAATGGATCTTAGTTTGATAGCTAAATCTATAAAAAAAAGGACCGATTTCTTAGAGATGAACACGAACAATATTTTTGTAACTTGTTAAGTGCTAATCGAATAAAAATGAAGGGTCCATAATAAAAGACTGCGACTGTCTTTCACAAATTTGCTCCGGAACTATTATGTCTATTCCAATCAAGTCCTCCACCTATGGATTGCCCTCAATGAGTCAACATTTGGTGAGATTTGGATCAATCAACCATGTTGTTATCTACATTTAATGAATCCATCAACCCGACTTTATTTTTGCTTGATTTTAGTTCAAAATTAAGATATTCTAAAATATTTCGGTTCTAAAAGTCACTCACAAAATGAGTTAATTTTTTTTTTGAATCCAACTACTTGAATTTATTATAATTTTTGCATTAAATAATCCTTATTAATTATTTTTAGCTTCAAATTGGTTTAAAACTATTATTTTTACACTAATTTTTGGATAAAACTCGAAGACATATGCAAATCATGTGGAAAATTAATGGCTCTTTTAACTATAGATAACAAGGTGGTTAACGGAACCAATCCTCATTTTTTGAGGAACTCAATTGGAATACTTAATTAGTACATGACTCATTTGAGATAGGCACAACAATCTGGAGTTAGATTTCTCTTTGTCTCTTTGTTCGTATAAAAAGAACAATCTATCCATTTTTTTATTAAAAAATCACTTTATAAATTTTTATCTAATTTACATCAATTTGTTGATATATTTAGTATCTATTTAGTACCCACTAAAAATAATGTGTCAAGATATTTCATTTTAATTCTTATAATTTTCAAAAAGTATTTTGATCCTTAAATTTAATATTTTTTTATTCTAATCCTTTATTTATAAGTTTTTTGCATTCAAAGTTTTCGAAAAAATTATTTTAATTTTTAAATTTTAAATTTTATACAATTAGATCTTTACATGTTAAAAAAATTAAAATAAATTAGTAAAAGTTAATAAGGTTTAGTAAATATACATAATCTGAAACCATATTAATATAAATTTTTTTATTTATTTTAATATTTATTAAATATTTTTAATCAATATTTATTAGGTTAGATGACGTAAATACCCCCTTTATCCTTCTTATTGCCATCCTGCACCAGATTCTAATGGTCCTCGAATCACTAGATTAAAGGTAAAAGGCCTAGGATCACCTAGCATGGTAGCTGAAAAACCATGCACCCAAATCTCCAATTCAAAAACCCTAAAAATCAGTGAAGAATCACTTTCCTCTTGTCGTTAAAATGTATGGCTCCAAGAAAGCTGTCTCCGACGACGTAGATCGAACGGCATTTAGAAAAGCCGAAAAGCAGTACAAACTTTACTACGATCAAAATTCCAAAAAGCATGTCCTTATCGATTTTTTTTTTAATTAAAACGTGCTGCCGTTTGTTTTGCGTTTGATTAATTGAGCTAATATCGAAGTCAAATTTTTTTCACAGGAAAAAGCAACCAAAACAAGTCGATCTATCAGAGGTTTTAGATTTCAAGTCAATTTCGAATTCCTATCATCAAAACGGTGAACTTCCTCCTGGAATTGCCGTTGTTGATTGCAGTTTTAATCGCCCCGTCTTCGGCTTGGAAAGTCGGCCCGGTACCAATTTTGCAGTTCAATTCCTCCATGCTACTTAGTTTAAAGTAAATCTAAATTGAATTGCGTAATTATGAGTTGATGCAAGTAGTTGCTTGTTTAGAAATGCTAATTTACTGATTTGGATAATTTATTTGCTGTTTAATTCAGATTCAAATCAAATTTTGTTAAGTTTTAGACAAGTTATTATTGAAAAGGCAAAACTTTGTAGGTTTTTATTTCCTTCCGGGGGTGCTGAGTGTCGATGAACAATGCAGATGGATAAGGGAGAGCTTAATGAGTTTCCCGCAGCCTCCTAATAGAACGAATCACAATGCAATCTATGGACCTATAAGTGACCTGTTTATTGCAGCGAAAGAGAGGAAAGTGTTGGTGGAGGATGAAAATACGCCGGCTAGGTTGGACTCTGGGTCCAATGGTTGTGTCGGCAATGGAGATGCTCATAGATGGAGATTTTGTGAGGAAGATAGTGTTCCATCAATAGGAAAGACATGTAAGTCCGTTCCAGCTCCTGTTTTACTGCGGAAGTTGCGGTGGAGTACCCTTGGACTGCAATTTGACTGGTCTAAGGTAAGTGCTTTTGACTTTCGCAATACCCTGCTAGTTTGTATTCTTCCATCATGTACTAGTATGCACCCTTTATTTATATCATGAAATCTATTCTTCATTGATCATTCAATTTCATGCTACAGTATGGCAGAGCACACACTTTAATTTGGAAGTTTCCCATTAGAGTTTGTCCATTAGACTTGTGCTGATTAACAATTAGTGTAGATGCTTTGATTATTATGAAGCATGGACCTCCTTTTAGCCACCTGTTGCTTCTGTAAGGTTTAATTGTTGCCTTGCAACCCTGGGGTTTAAATATTGGTTACAACACCCAATCTGTCCCAATGGATTATGAATGATCTGGAATTTGATCACTGAATATACTGCCTTGGCACTGTGACTTCTGGAACAATTTGTATATTTCACATGAATTAGTTGCAAAGGATTGTAATATACTAATTTACTATCAGTTCTATACCTTGGTTTCCTATTAAGAGGGGCACAATGTTTAAGACTAAGTATGATAGTCGGAAAGTAAAAATTTAATTTGTTTTTACATAGAATTTTGAGAGATTGTGCTTGAAGATAGCAGCTCTGTTTAAACAGTTTGTGCACAAAAAGTATTGTCAACTTACTGAAGTTTAAGAGTGCATTTGCATGTAAGAAGAGACGTCTTTAACCACTTAAACATTGCTGCTCAAATCTATATAAAGCCACCTTATGTGACTAGAGATCCAAGCTAGTCCTTTTTGTACGTTAGTTTATCTGTTGTCGTTGTCATTTTTTAGGAGATGATTGCTATAATACATGAAAATGTATCAACCCAGCATTCCTTTTAGAAGATATGCTTCTTATAGGTTGAAATGAATTTCAATGCGTTTGTTTGTGGTGTAGCGTAACTACAATGTATCTCTTCCACATAACAAGATCCCTGATGGACTCTGTCAGCTGGCTAAGAAAATGGCTGCTCCTGCAATGCCCATGGGAGAAGAATTCCAGCCAGAAGGTGCAATAGTAAACTATTTTGCATCAGGTGATTATCAATGGAAAGTTTGCTTGTATCTTCTTTTGGTCCATTTTCTATTTAATACCTATTGGCTTATGGGCTTTAGTGCAATGGTGAGGTTGTGCTATTGTGACTCGAAGTTCACAGACTTACACTGCAGAAACAGTAAAACAAGCATGCCAGGGTTACGTTTCCTCAACATTTTTATAGCTGGCTACAAATCTTTTACTTCAGTTAAAATTCAATGTCTTGGGAGTGGAACTAATGTACACAATAATATTTACGTCTCTTGTCAGGAGATACACTTGGAGGTCACTTGGATGACATGGAAGCTGATTGGAGTAAACCTATAGTAAGCATGAGGTATCTTAGGAATTCTTTATCTTTTTCTCCAATGTTTTCAACCCAAAGAAGACACGTTGATTGCTTACTATATCTTTCTTTCCCCTTCTCAGCTTGGGCTGCAAAGCTATTTTCCTTTTGGGTGGAAAGTCTAAAGATGACCCACCATTAGCAATGTTCCTCCGAAGTGGTGATGTGGTGCTCATGGCTGGAGAAGCAAGGGAATGCTTTCATGGTAATTGAACTACAAGCCTCTGGAATATCTTGAAATAAGATCTGTATTTTCTCCAAATAAAGTATTTGTCTTCATGTCTAACCTAAAAAATTTAGCCTTATGGATGATGGGGGAAACTCAAGTCAAAGGAGTATTTATGGTTTATTTTCATTAGGCAGCCAAAAACCGAACTCAATTCATAGAACTTCCACATGAAATTCATATTTTCTGTGAAGTATGAAGAAGCTGTTCGTACAAATGTTGAATTAAGCGACATCATTGTGCTTAGCCTTTAGTTATAGTAACTTCTGTTTCTGTGCATTTAACTTTGTTGCATATTAATACTTTGTTTTGATCTATGACTATTGCAGGTGTGCCTAGGATCTTCGCTGACAAAGAAAATGCTGAAATCACAACCCTTGAATCACGTTTCTGTGATGAGAATGATTTCTTAGAATACATCAGAACCTCGAGAATCAACATTAACATCAGACAAGTTTTTTGAGAGTATTAAATTCTCTCTCGCAAATGTGAGATTTGATTTAAGATTCAATTGGAATGAGATTTTAAAGGTGACTAGAGGACAGAATGGTAGAAAGATGTTGAAGATTTTTGTAGAATTACAGGAACAATTTGTAAGGAGTTAATTGAGTGGCCAAATGGAATCAGAGGTTGAATCAAGACAGTGAGATAAGACAAAGGAATAGGATCCGATAATATTAGTCGGATGTTTTTGAGTTTGAGGCTTGAGAGGAATGTATTACGCAATTAATTTCATTGGCTTATCGGTTCAGGTTTTCTCATCTTGAAGTGGTATTCCGCTTTTCACACTTTTGCTTCTGATTGTGAGAATACATGGATTGCACTCCTCTTTTATGGTTTTTTAAATTACAGGATTGTTAAACATTTTTCTAGATGCTATTTTTTTTCTACCAAATCAGTTAAGAGTATTCTCCTGCAGGCCCCAGTCCCATTTATCAAACCCTACTGAGTATTATATTTCCACACCATTGGAATGGTATCCAACGCTAGCTCGGGCAGATTGTTCATTCTTCTGCAATTTTGAGCAATGAACTGCCAAACGTCAAAACATGCTGATAAGACAATAAATCTCCTCTCTCGAAGGATCCTTATATATATATAAATGTATGTATGTATATGTATATATGCTTTGCCTGTAAAGTATCGTCAATGAAAGAAGGAAGAAACATTCAGCAATGAGGTGTAAAAGTGATTGACTAATGCGTTGATTTATCTTTAAGCTTTGAAAAGGAGTTAATTGTTGGCACTCAAAGACCAATTATTTGCTAATAAACTATCGAGCTTTTATACACAGGTGTTTTATATGGTGGTGGAATCCTTGCATTTCCGACTGAATTTGTGTTTTAGTCACAAGTGTTTTATTTGCTAGTAATACTTTTGCTTAAAAACAAACACGATATCTAAGTTCGAACTTGAGATGAATTTTTTATATATAAAAAATTTTGAGATATAATATATATATATATTTTGGGATATTATTCCCTATCCTCTAATTTTAAAAAGAAATATCCATGTAAAAAGATAATACATATCCAGATAAAGAGAAAGAGGAAAAACGCTGTTTTTATTTTGTTTTGTTTGTATGGGTACGGTATATGAAGGACAATCAACACATGGAACATGGATAAAGAAATGGCACAACCAATCGTGTTTTAAAAGTGAGAAACAAAATGTTCCGTGTGAATTAACACACCCAAAACACTCCCAAACAAAGAAGGATACGGTCCTGTCCATCTAGAGAAGTCTACTAGCCCAAGCAAAAATGTAATATTAAGCTGACCCACGCAGAAGAAATCAACTTCAAACAAGAAGAACCGTCGACGCCCACCAAAAAATAAAATAAAAACATGATCGCTACACTCCAAAAACAACTCAAAGCCACCACCAAACACTCACGCGTCTACGTGTACGTTTCTATTACCACTTTCCTTAAAATCAGATAAAACACACAAAAATTTACCCTCCAAAAACCCCCCCCTCTCTCTCGTCTCTTTACAGAACTCATATATCTCTCTCTGTCTTCTTAAGTTTTTCTTCTCTGAAGAATAATGGGACCGATTGTTTTGACCCAGTTGGCCACTGGTCTTAGTGTGCTAGCCGGGGCGGCTCTGGTCAAATCGGTTATGGACCAAAAGCCCATGGCTGGTCCGACCTGCCCATCTTGCAACGGAACGGGTCGGGTCGCTTGTCTTTGTTCCCGTTGGTCCGATGGAGATGTGGGTTGCCGGACTTGTTCCGGTTCTGGTCGTATGACGTGTAGTAACTGCGGAGGGACAGGTTCTGGTCGGCCTATTCCAGTTCAAATCTCTATGCGGTCACGGAACCGTCCATCTTGACCCTGTTCGTGCCTTAAAGATTTATTTTGGGTCTGCTATTGTAGTTAATATTAATTAATTTCTCTCTCTCTCTCTCTCTCTCTCTTCTTATATTTTTCTGTAAACTTTTTTTCTTTTTTGAATCTTTTCCAGTTTGGAAAATTTTATATTGCAATATAATATAAGGTGAAGAGATACTTGAGATGGAAGACTAGTAGGTTGTAACTTGTAATGACAGTAATTAATATATTGAGTACTGAGATTCTTATAAAATCGATCATTAATAAGTTTATACTCTTGAATTTTTGTTTGCCTGTGATGTTAATTTTTAGTTAGTATTGATTTTTTATGATGTATATAGCTTCTATTGTTAAAGTTTATACTATATATGCAGGAATGTTTCTGTTCAGGTGGCATCTAATAGGATAAGAGGTTAGAAGAAAACAGGAGGTTAATTTTTCCATGCGTGCTCTTGAAATGATTTTGAAAAAAATCTTGCTTGTGTGTGGGATTTTGTTTTGTTTCTGATGGCTGCGAATTTAAAGATAATTACAAGTAGATAGACTCGTCGAAATTTTTTATATATAAATCTTCACCAAATGACCATATTTCTTGGAGTGCATTTTGCCTTTTTATAATAAATAAATAAAAATAACAGATTGCCAAATGGAACAATAAAATTGGAGTGACCTGTGGTTTCCAACTTAGTGTATAATTATATTGGCCATCTTAGTTTTTGAGCAACATAATGAGACTAGTTTTCAAACATCTTTATGTTTTCCTTCGTCACCTCTTTGTTTGAAGTTAATGCTTGCATATTTGGGAAATTCTATATATATACTTTAAAGCATTCTATGCAACAAGCTTCGATTGAAGACTAATGTGCTTGTACCAAATGCTTTTGTGTCGTTTGGTTCTATGATTACTAGAGTACGACTTAGCAAAGTATGTGGTGTATGAACTCAGTCACGTGGTGCGTTTGTCACAAGTTGTCAAGTCGAGAAGTTACGATGGCATAATCTGGTTGTAGCTAGAAGTGAGATACCAGTGGTGATAATTGAATTCTGTGCTCCATATTTTATAAAGCAGATATCTTGCCAACATTTCATCCAACCCATACTTGCTCGTCTTTCGGACACAAAAGACCTTAGATATTAGCCGATCCGATTTCAGATTTCTAAACTCCTTGTAGTGGTTACCTTAAAAAACATCATGGCCAATGAGTCTATGGCTCACAAGTATTCATTTCTCTTCATGTTCGACCCTCTTCTTGGTAAATCGGCTGTAAGCCAATTAAGCACCTAATTCCTTATAATCTAGCATGAACAAGCACTTGCGTACCTAATTCCGTATAATCTAAGCATGAACGAGCACTTGCTTTAGACCTGCGTACAAGGCACATCAAGTCCGTGAAATAACTGCCTTCTTGTCCTTGAAAGCTTAATATGATAAATAAGTTTGTGTCTTAACGTTACATTTTAATAGAGGTTGCACGAAAATAATTTCAGATGATAGTCGATACAGATGTGAATGAACTGTTTAAGATCTAACTACTGAAAATATTTAGTCTTATATACAAAAATACGTTCCATGATATTTTTGCAATTAAAATACATTAAAAAAAAATTAATAATAATAATTCAAAGAATCTACCCAGTTCAACAAAGAGCTTCTTAACGAGCAGATTTTTTTTTTTTGGGGGGGGTGGTGGGTTTTGTAGCGTGATGGACGCATCTTCTTGATTAAATGCTGATATGCAGTAATCACCTTGATGTTGCATGCTTGTTAGCTGGCTGGCATCCAAAAGGATGCTGTAGTGACCTTGCACGTAAGAGCCACTTTCCGCTTGAAAGTAACCGAAATGATACATAGAAAGCCATTAACAATAACTAAAAGAAAATGTAAAGTAGAATAGATTGAAAGGGCTAAATGCTATTCTAAATTATTCTCCCCCTTCCAGTGATAGTCACATCACTATGATATTATTGAGAATGAAAGCTTCTTAATATTATACTCTAAGCATTAGAACTGCCGCCGGTCAATATAATTGATGTTCAGACAAGAAGAAAAAAATCATTACTTAAAAACAAAATTTCGATACTTAATGGACCAGGAGTTTCTAGCTTACGAATCGGTTAGGAGGATCATTATTTTTGACTAATTCTTCCGTACGTTAAGCGCACTTGACTGAAAAATAGAATAAAAATTGCTGTCCTTTATAGACAACATTTGATGTAGCTTGTCCATGAAGGTGTCTGCATCGCAGAGTAGTGGATGTGTTTGATGCTTCTCCATAAAATCTTCTGCAGCAAAGTACTAAACATTTGAGGAATGGGTTCTGGAGATGAGAATGGGGAATTTTGTTGGAATGGGTGAGATTATTTTGCCTCTTATGTTGCTCTTACGTTGTTGGAGACCTAATTAGCCTCGTGCTAAACAAATTGTAAAATTTCAGAAACTAGACAAGAAGAAGAAAGTGCAAGTTATTACCCACAGTCATGAAAGATGAGGATGATGACCTGCCAATAGCTTTGTCAGGAATTCTTCCAGTCATAGAAAATGAACTTTATTTGCAACTTCAGAGTCCAAGCTCTTAAAATAACACAAAAGTTGGTTTTCATACAATGAAGATGTCGTATACTGTGTGATTCATTCAAAAGAGAGGAAATCAAACTCAGATTTGAATGTAGACATTGCTTTCGCAAAATGGTTTTAGAAATAATTGATCTAAATCTACCTCAAATAAGTAACCTCCATCCTGTTTCTCGTTGTACTGTTGTGTTCTGTTTTGACAACTGATTACCGTTTTTCTTTTCCTTAGTAGTGGCATCTGTTTTGTTTTCTACAATTGATTTTAGCTATTTATAATTTCATTTGAATAGAGTTAACAGTGGCTCCATTACACTGACTTCTGTTCTAGTTTAATCATTAAATGGCTTTCTGTTACTGGCGCATGGAGAGTAAAACATCATGCCTCCACTCCCTATTTAAAAAATTTATGGATGGGAAGTGAGATACTAGGAGATGAGTTCTGAAGTTTCATGTGGTGCATAAAGGTTGCTTTTCCGGGCAACTTTTGTTACTAGCTCAAATATACTGGTGGCATCTAAGTTTAAGGGGTGGTTTTTGTACATTGCAATAGCACTCTATGAGAAATCATAATGATCACAGACATTACAAGTTCTAATGATGATACAAAGGTTCTGTCCACAAATACAAATCTTTCAAGCTCCTTCCTTAATTAGGTAAGCATGTTCACCAGTGTTTCTCACTTGGGGGTGAAAGCCTGAAACATAAAATTTAAATGGTTAGCGATCAATTTAAAACAAGTTGTTCCTGCTGCATTATTTACAGATTAATACTGTTGTTTAAATTGTTAGGGGTGCACTTACAGCAAAAACGGTGGCATGACCAGGATCTGCAAGGTGAGCAAAGAGGTTGTCGATCGGACCAGTGCCAGTGTAAATGTGTTGGAACCAAGCACCCATCACAGCCAGCATAGCTAGTCTTCCATTCTTGATCTCCTTCGTCCTCAATTCCTTGACCTTCTCAGGAGAACCACTTCCCCATCCAAGTGGGTCAAACCATAGCCCACCTGGGTAACCAACATCAGTACCAGTGAGCTTGTTGTTAGGGAAGATAGGATCAGTGTTGACACAGCCTGGCTTGAGAATATCTGCCCATCTTCTTCCCTCGGCCCAGCCAATAAAGATCATCTCAACAACGAAGAGTGTGGTGGTGTCGGTGAAGTATTCTTGTTCCCCAGCAGTGTACCATGATGGGGTGTTTAGGATGCCAATCTTTGTAAGGAATTCCGGGATGAAAATACCAGCAGCACCTAACATGGCCCATCTGCAGTGAACAAGTTCCGATTGCACATTCCATCTTAGAGTTTCAGGATCAGATCCTGTTTTCGGCAAATTACCACATGCATAAATATTTCATGATTGGTTATATTCTGCAAGTGACTAAAATCTAGAGGCTTAGTTTTCACTTACCAAGGCCAAGAGGATCAAAACCAAAGTCTCCAGGGAGGCTGCAGTAGAAACATTCAAGCAAAACTTCAGAATGCAAAGCACAGCACTTGAGTCTTTACATCAATGAAAAAGAAAGAAAGAGGCTTTGGAGCTAAGCACAAGTCTTTAACTGACCTGCCATCAAGCCATGGAGGAGGGGTGCTGCCTGGGAACCAGAGGGGTCTATTAGGGTCAGCTGCAACACAAACTGTAACTGATCGAGCTGCAGTTGGTGATGTGTACTTTTTCAGTCTCAATTTCTTCCCACTAAGAAAAGAAGCCTTTGTTGACCCAGCGAGGGATCTAGTCTTCTGGGAACTGCATTATGTCACTTTAATTACATGATTCGCTTCACTTAAAATATATGTGTGTGTGTGTGTGTGTGTTATTTTTCCATTTCTTTCCTCATATCGTTATATTTTGAATTTAAATATGTAATTAAGAATCAATCTAGAACGTAGTAGAACGATCAACTTACTAGATTCATGAGATGAGATTCTAGGCCTTGCTTATATAAGCGGCTTGTTAACAAGTATGGAATCATTTCTAATGCATGTTAAAAAAGTTCAAATATATGTCACACAGCTAACAGCTGTTAATAGAATCATTAGAGCTGGTCGTTAATGGGTTTGAGAGAACTTGCCTGGAAGAAGAGATGGAAACAGCAGAAATGGCAGAAGAAGCACAAACAGAAGCCATTTTTGTGACCAAAAGATTTTCTTCCAATGAGTTTATGCTGTGTTTGAATGGAATATGCAGGTGGGTTGCAAATCTGATTGAGTGTTAATGTGTGCAGGGGCTTATCTTAAAGGATAGGAGAAATAATGTCTAATTGGCTACTTGATTGCCATGTGGCATGCAGAATCTGATATCAAGCCTCTTTACCTCCACTTCTTTGGCCTACTTAGAAGAATCAGAAATTGGTGGCTCCCGTTCGATGTCCAACAATTGAATGCTTGGATGAATCAGAAATTGGTGGCTCGCGTTCTATGTCCTATAATTGATATATCTAATGTCGGAGAGACCTGTGTCGCGGAATCACTTGGGCGAGTGCGTGGATCCATACGTGCGAAAGTTTATATATAAAATAAATATTATTTTCATTTAAAAGTCTAAACAATAAGAATAATAAGTTAAGGATTCATTTTATATATTAGTATTTTTTTTTTTTTTGTATTTCTAATCCATATAGAATTTTTCATTTACATGTAAAACTCAAAAAATCTTTCTCTCATATGTGAATCTTTTTTTTCACATTAAAAATTAATTCATCTCTGTATTTAATAATTTAAGTGTGATATTTAGAGCTTGGAGGTTAACTTTTTTTCTCAAACATGAAGAAATGAAAAAAATCATGAAAACTTAATTATAATCACCGCTCGTTTCAAACCGAACAATTAGTTCTATTATTAATTATTAGAGAATCTGATTTAAAAAATTATTCATATTTACACATAAATCTGTATGTTTAGAATTTATATAAAAAAAATAGATAACATTTTAATTCAAAAACTTTAATCTATATTATATATATAAATATTTTAAATTTCTTATTATGAATTTTTCGTTGAAATGTGAAACTCAACATCAAAATATGAGTTGCAATTGGGTTCCATGGCTAATCTCAGTAATTTGTCAATACTTGAAAATAGATTACAGGTGATATGGTGCTGGTGCTACACTTTTGAAAGAATCTCATGTTATACGATTTTGGATATAACAAGGTGGCAAATAATTTAGAATTAGCTAGCTCTTCTAGCGCATATTAGCTTTTTAGCCGTGCTATGCTCCGGATTTGGTAAAATAAATTATATTATAATTTTTATTTTTTAATTATTTTTTATGTTTTTTTCATAAATTTTCTACTTCAAAAAACATGATTTTTATGTATTTATTATTAAATAAAAACTTATAATAATTTAAATCAGAATATTTCTTAAGAATTAAAAAATACTTTAGAAATATATTTTTTAAAAGAATGTATTCAAAAAATAAAATTATAATTAATTTATAGATTTGTATAAAAATTAACTAATAAGAAAAAAATATTTTTATTCAATGATGATGAGAAGATTAATTTTTGAAAAATATATGCATTTGATCGATATATATTTATTTACAAAATAATCAATAAAATTAGCATAAAAAATATATTTGAATAATTGGTTGGTTCCTTTAAAAAATTATTTTAATTATTTTATTTCAAATAAATTGGTTCTATAATGTTAAAAAAATATTCATAGTAAATAATTTGTATTATGTTGGAAGATGTATAGTTAATTTTTAATAAAAACAATTATCCATTAGTTTTTTTATATGTCTTGACCATACCTAGTAAACTAAGACAAATTATTTGAAATACACTTTTAATATTTTAGAATAAAATAATTTTATATTTATATAAATATTCAACTATCATTTAAAAATTCTAAGAATTCATGATATGTATTATACCAATTTATTTTTTAAAACAATATTATTTTAAAATTTTATTCTAAAATTAAAACATAGAGAAAATAAATTATATTTATCTGCAAGTAAAATTTTATATAAAAAATATTAATTGGATGAGAATTTTCATAAAAAATAATAAATTCAAAAAATGAAATTTAAATAACAAGAGTAGTATAAGCTGAATTATATATTAATTTTAAAATATAAAAAGATAGTCTATTTATATACACACACTACGTGAAAATAAAAGAAAAATGAAATTTAAGGATTGAAAAAAATATAATATAACATGAGGGATGAAAAATAGAAAAAAGTGTTAAATTTACATATTAATGCCTAAAAACACATAAAAAAAACTGTACACAAAAATTACTTAAATTGTTATTAAGTGAATGATAATTTTATGTACATGAACAGTAAGTGAATAAGAATTTTAGTCATATGAACAGCTCGAATTCTCGCGCTACATCGCGAACCGAACTAAATATATTTATTTCGGTTTGATAACATATACTATGTTATTGGTTAATTAAAAAATATTAAATTAGATATAAAAGATAAAATTTTATCTAATTTTTAATCAAAATTATATATATATATTATTTTTTGAATAAATTTTGAAAGCAAAAAATATGATTTGTTCTTTCTTATACATCTATTCTTAAATAAAAACCAATAATAAAAAAATTTTAATATAAAATTTTAAAAGAAACATCTTAATATTTTTTTGATAACATTACATCAAAGAAATAAAACGACAATTAATGTACAAACTTGTATGAAAATTAACAAATGAAACTTTTTTACTGATGAGAAGATTATTTTTTTAAATAGGTACATTTGATTTATGTATATTTATTTGTAAAATAATGAATAACAATAATATATAAATTTATATTTGAATTATTATATTTTTATTCTAAAATATTCTTTCAATTATTTTGTTTAAAAAAATTAATTTTAAAATATTTAAAAAATAATAGCTAACAATTAGTAATAATAATATTCGCGCCCCTTTTCTAAAGCACTATAGGAAAGGCTGGCCCATCAACAAGTTCACAAAGTTTCTCTTGATAGCAGGCCACGTAGTAACTGTGGTCTGATGAGGAACATGGATTTATAGGCCTGAGGCCTCAGCCTGGCAGAAATAACTCTAGCCCATGAAAAATTATGAAACACGATGGAAAAACATTAGAGCTATTTGTGATGCCAAATTGGTTTCTTTGGGCTTCGAGATTGCTCAAATAGAAATTAATTTCAACATGGGTTGAAAGAAGACCAGAAGCTGACTTTCAATAGGCTAAGCTGTTTTGTAAAGATGGATGTGGCCCCCACTGAAGCAAAGGATAAGCTTTAAGAGTTCAAAGTTAACAGCGTCGTGCCGTCGTCGTCTGTCTTCCTCAATTTTTCCATTAAAGGTAAGAAGGATTCTTGCCACTGGCATTTAACATCAGTGTCTACTTTCCAGTCCATATCGCATTTGCTCCGACAAAATCTCACCATGGAATTGGATGGAACGTGTTAGAAAAAACTTCCTTTTAACCAACAAAAAATCTGTATAATGCTTTTGCATACTATTAAATAAAATTTATTTATTTACTCATTACACCATAAAAAAAAAAAATAATAATAATAATGAATAGGTTTGGTGGTTATAAAAGTTTATTCTTTCTTAACCTTTTAAATTTAAATATTCAGATTAGAAAATAAAATTTACTTACTGTATTTTAAAATATTTTTGTTGTCTCGTAACTTAATTGACTAATTGCTTCGTATTTTATAAAAAATAACTGCTTAATGATTGTGATAATTATTTTTTTAAAATAATAATAATAATAACAACTTTCTAATTGCGTGTTACATAATACAATCTTCATATTTTTTTAAAATAAAACTCGTAACTCTACAGAAGGGAAAATATGGTATTTACATCCTACCAAGCTATTTTAAACAACTATGAAATTCAAAATACTCATACTTAATAGCAAATTGTTTCTTTTCTTTTCATTGCAAAGTAAATTACTTCTTATCAGTGTAAATCCCCCACCAAATATATATATATATATATATATATATATATAGTACTTTAAATAGTAACAAAACAGAGGGATTTTCTCCCTTCAAGAGCCCAAACTTTCTCACATTAGCATGACTCGTTCTGGCCCAAACAACTTATTATAAAAAAGGAAAAGCTTCTCTTATAGCAGGGGGGAAAAAAGCACAAAAAATTCAAATTACGAGTCTCCTTTAACTTAACCTCACACTAAAACATATAATACAACTACATCTTTTGTTTGGTACTTTAGAGCGATAATTGCACTAAATATATTAATCTTAAATTTTTTTAGATGAAATATATAAATTTTAATTTTTTAAAAAACATTTAATAAAGTATTTTTCATTCAACTTCTATAAATGATGATTTTTTTTTCTAAATTACTAAGTTATAATTTTATCATTTCATTATTAGAAGAAAATTTTTCTCTCAAATTTTTTTGTCATTTTTTATACAACAAATACTTAAATTATCCTTATATTATAAAATAAAAAAAAAGATAAAGTAATTTCAAAAGAAAAAACTCACTCCAAAAAATAAAAGAATAAAATCAATTTAGTAGTTTGAGATAAAACACACATCATCATGTAATAGAATAATTAAAAAATAATGTATTAAAATTTAAAAAAAAAATCACATATCTAATTGAATATATTGAATATATTTATAATGCAATTATCCCAAAAGTTAGATGATGCTGCATCTTAGTTCTTATCTTCATATCTGAGAAAATCATAACCCATTTGATATCGTAACTTTGAAGCAGATAAAAGACAGGTCCACAACCACACACAGAGCCGTTGTCTTATCCTACCAACTTGTCCTAGCTTCCAAGTCCAAAGTAGAAAAAATCAACCAAATTGCACTTGTAGCAACATGTGTAATACCTTTTGGAGTTCGGATGTTCTATGCTCTGTCATGACCCCATTATATATTTCCAATTTAATTTGTCCAATATAGATCAACTCTTATATTTATGCTTTTTTTCCTTATATATGTTTTCCCTTTCTGATAAGTTCGTGTTCAAAAAATAGAATGGACAAAACCACGACTTCACCCCCAAAAAATTAAGTGGATAATTGTTTTTTAGCTGCAAATAAGTTCACCTAAAACAAAATTAAATGGACAAAGTGGATCAATGTAGCAAGTTGCCAGTTGCTTAGGATTGAGGATTAGTAGAGTTGAGTTGAGCTGTATTAGCCATATCTTTTAACCTTTACCTATTCTTAACTTCAATGAGTTACCTGTAAAGGTTAATATAACTTTTATAAGGGTGATAATTAAGTTTTCCAGTGATGGTAAAGATAAGGAATATTAATTGGCATAATTACGCAACTAATCATCTGTAAATTGCAGTGAAAAATAAAGCACCGACCGGGAGATCCGTTTGGTAGCCTTAACAACAAAAATATTGTCGTGCTTTATTCGACTTTAAGACTAGGTTTTCACATGCTTGACCACCACCACCCACCACGAAATAAATTCTGGACCTTTTTAAGGAAGCAAATGGTGGTTAGAGTATAGATATATATGCAATCTTATTACAAATAAATGCTTGAGGTCTACCAACATTATCAATGCATGTTAATTTGATAGTAGTATTTAGCAAAATCACTTGGAAATCAACACACACCTTGGATCCCTTACTCTACTTTCCCATGCAAGCATGTGCTAGCTATTAGTACTGTAATTATGTCTTGCAAGAATTATAGCAAGAAAACAATCTGCTAATTATGTCTCGTGAGAATTATTATAACATGTAGCAGCCTTGAAAATTCTATCATATAAGGAAAGTAGGGTCAATAAGCTTTCTATGATCATTTCATATTTTAGGTCCCTATCATTGTACCTCAGTTGCGGAGTCAACAAGCGAAGATGCAGTCCTTAGCATGATTGACTTGAGAGGAGAGAAAGAACAATGATCCCAGTAGTGAGTTATATTCTGAAAGTACTAAATAATGAAACATTTGGTTGTTATGATGACTAAAACAACTTTGCCAAACCTCTAAAAAGTACGATTATTGTGTCGGATTTTTTGCTTCTCTTTGGCCCCAGAAAAATTATCATGAAGTTTATCAGTTTGGGTTCACTAGGGAACACATCATCACATTTTCACATGCTGGGGGTTTCTTAGTGCTCAGTAGATTAGAACTTGAAGGAGTGATTGTGGGTTCAATCAAATTCCATTACTGACCAAGTCTACCGTGTCCTGCTAAAGATGGGATTGCTGAAATATTAATCTTCTGTTTTGGGGGGACAACAAGCCTGATTGCCCTTAGGAAACTCTACATGCGCCATCCCCTAATAGTTGGAATTTTCAGCCTCACTTTTGCAGGGTAAACTATAGTTTCGATAAGTTATGGCATCTCCATCGCATTTATATATAGCTGGTAGTGATTGCTCCTATCCTATTTTGCAATTGGATTTTCCTAGTGGATTTTACTCCATAGATTAGCAGATAAATGATAGTCTAAAAATTGCAAACTAGTTAGGTCTCCCTTTTTCTTATATATATATATATATATATATATATATATATATATATCAATAAGGTGAACAATATTTAACTGTGGCCATGGAAAATTAAGTATCCTGAAAAAAGCTAATGCCACGATCCCCAAACGGTCCGTAAGGAAATAAGCCTGTCAAAAAACTAAAGGCAATACCGTAGGATAGCTATTCCTTAGGTCTTTAATTCGTTTAAAACACTATGGTCATAATATGTATATGAGCTTGCTTTGCCAAAGCGAAGACGTATCCATATCCCAAATATATGATTCATGATGTTGAGAATTGTGTCCAGATCCTTAATGATGAACTAGAATTTGTTTGACAATATAATTATGTGATCACTGCCATCAAAAGAAATGCTATTGCCAGACAGGAGAAAGAAAGAGGACTATATTATTATTATTAGCAATCAAATTTCTAATGATGCTGCACAATATGGACATTACAGAGACTTACCAAAAAGTAAATCAAACAGCATCCTTTCTTGTAGTTTAAGCAGCCAACTGCTCCTGATCTAGTTAAATTAAACTTGAAAATCTTAGTCTTATAAATTTTATATGGTCGATTTGGATTATTTATTTGGACAAACCCTATCTGAAAGATGTGGTATAGACTTCAAGTATTAAATATTGTGTTTTCCCTTAATAATAGTCTTAATTATTTAATTTTATGTCTTTTTATTTGGCAAATGAATGTCTCGTTCCATAGAGCTCAATTAACTTGCCGATTTTAAGGTGATCTGCAGAAAACCATAAAAGTTGAGATCATTTTTAAGAAAGTTTTGCACTTTGTCTGGATCAGCCCATATGTCTGGAATTCTCTGGTGTTCAATTATCATCATCCATGCTTGATATTTACTTCATCGATCGAAGCCCTTCATTTCAGTGATTTAATACCACAAACATCCTCAATTATGTACTATCCTTGGAAGGATATAACTCAGACATATTATTGTGACTTCTGCAATGACAGATTATCCATGATTATTTTATTAATCTTTTATGTAGAGTAACATTAATTTAATAAGAGGTCATGAATTCAAATCCTAACATAATAGTTTTATTAATAAACTTAAGCGTATGAGTTGAAAAAAAAAACTTAAAAAAAATATTAATTTAATAAGAATTGGAAGTCAAATCCTTTATCGGTAACATATATATAACCAGGAAGTAACAAGGACAGATTGAGGTTAAACGTACACCACGATTTAGCAGCTAATATTATTATAACTTAACCTTTTGCTTTCAATAACAATTAATAATCATTACAATCTCCTGATTAGATACAGCATGATATAGCCCATATGAATTGAATTATGTACTTATCATATGTAAAGCCCTAATTATAAATATTACTATAATGATCCTTTGAGATATATATATAGGCTGCACACCTAAAACCAACCAAGTCTGTTACGTTTCAACGATTACAATATCCCTTAATTAATGGAGTTTACATCGACATTTAATAAATGGGATTCTATCAGACTATCACACAGGGATTACTTCAACATCATCTCGTAATTGAGCTAACAAAAGTTGAGACATCCAAATTATTTTACTGGTGCTTTAATTAGCATAGTGGGCCTTTAGGTTTATTAATAATCCATTTAATGAGAAAGCAATCGTGTCTAATTACAGGTCTCCAATCGTTGAAACTTAGAAAACTTCCATCCCTTGCCAAATTCAAACAATTGGGTTTCTTGGAAGAAGAGGGGATGGGCCGCGCATGACTGCCAGGACGGAACCTACCGGTCGAGGCGTGCATGGAGGTTGCCTTAGCTTGCTTCCGTAACATTTTCGGTTAAATATATTTTTCACAATGTCAAAATGCTCACTCAATATTAAATAATTAAAAACTCTATGAAAATTATAAAATATTTGCATTGCCCAAATCTAGAAGAAAGCTAAGGCAAACTCCACGCCTCCACGATAGGTTCAAATTTCGAAATAGGTGAGCGGAATTAAGTAACGGATGAGATCTGACTCTCATTAAATATTTATTAAAAAAGTTATATAAAAACTAAACAAAAAAGCTCAATGGTACGCAAAACTAATAATTATACATCATATTTCTGTCGTCATTTACCATTGCATTCAAATAGAAATTTTCGGTTTAAACTAATTAATTATGACGATCTAGTTATGATCTAGGAGCTAATGTATTCATTTACAAACGACTCTATATGCACTGAAAAAATTTAAAAGGATATTCACTTAAAGTTTGTAACAAATAATTGAGGTAATTTTTTGTTGAGCATATGTTTAAAGTCTATTATGCGAGTTATTTTGGCATAACTAATTAACCAATTAAATAAGAGAAGAATTAAAGTCAAAAAGAAAATAAAAATAAAATACCAAATTGTGTAGTGTGTGCATGTGTAGAGGTGGAAAAGAAAAAAAAAAACAAAGGAAAAGTTTTTCCTAAACAATGGGCATCCGATACTTGCACCAAAATATATATAGATATATCTTTAACCTTGCACTGTTGCCAAGGAAACTGACAATAAGAAAGCAATGATTTTTTTGTACACAAAATATTAGAGTTTCATCTTGCATTAATTTTTTTGGTACTATAATTATTGAAAATTTTAGTTTTTAGTGTGATAATTTCATAAAGTATTGAGTTTTGAAGAAATATGAAGATTTTATATATTTGAAATTTTTATGATTAGACTGATTTAGTTAGAGAAGTAACTTTTATTGTTTTATCAATAGTTTTGTTTTTTAAATTCACATAAAAACTTAAATAATTGTATTATTTTTTTATTACACTTGATTATTTCAAAATTGATCGTGCATGTTATTTTTTTCTTCTACGATATAAATTTTTTTTATGTAAATTTAATATTTTTATATTTATGCTTTTGTGATCTATTTATTATATTTTTAATTATTATATGTATTTGATTTTTTTTTTATTGAAATCTAATTTATGCGAAATATGATTAAATTCTCAATATTTTTGTAAGTAGTGAAAAGTTTTGCTATGCCTCAGAGTATCAGATTCTCGATCTCTGTACTTAGAAGATGTGACATTTCATTTAGAAATAATAACAGAAGAGAGAACAAGTTGTATGTACGAGTTAAAAAGAAAACCTTCCCAGAAAAGATTGGAGGTTATAGATTAGATACCGACCAAACATCATGGTTTTGTTTTTAATACGTGCAATAATGCAACAATTGCTTGCTAAACCACCTAATCAAAATCCTTTCATTTTCTGAGCAAGAATATAAGCATGCCGGTGTTTTGGGCGGCCGTGTATTGTCATCATGTTTCTGTATGTTCCGTCGCAGTCAAACTTTTTTAGTATCATTATTTAAAGTATTCATTGGATGCTTCTCTCAGACATAGAATTTTCATTTTTCTGTTTATTAATTCAATGTCAACTAAGAAAATGAACCGATATTGAGTTAGATTAAATGGAGCTCTCAACAATGACGTTTAAGTAGTTACCGTCAGGACGCATGCATATATGGGGAACAACACAAGCCGTAAAGGCAATTTTCTAATTGCACTTTTTTTCTTGGATAATGATTTCTCAACTTTGTTTATGCAATTATGTGACAAACGTTTGAGGTTAGTCTTCTTATTTTATTTCTTATGTTTTTATTTTCTTATTAGAGCTTTTAGGTTTCAAAGTATCTGTCCTTGTTTTTGTAATTGACGTTCATCTATGGAACAAAAGCATCATTTAAAAACCAGTTACATCGAAGGTTTATTTAAAGAAAATTGAGTTGAGGCTTAGCCAAAATTAAGGGCAAAGTATTCACTTCTAGAACCAGTTACATCGGACGGAAATTTAAAATTAGGAACAAAATTCAGATGTCGCTTGGCAAGCTACGCAAGCATTCTATCATTTATTCAAAGTGACGGAGTTAAAATATTGATAGAACAATATCAATTTCCCAAGTTTTTAATTTGACTCAGTTATGCCTAATTTTTGGACGCAACCGGAAAGAAAAAAAAAACAAAATTCTTAGAAGTCAGGGTGTGGGATTTCAGAGAGCTAATTGTCTTCACGTCAGATGATTCGTTGGGCTGTGAATATTTATTCAAGCTAGTTAGCAGGCTGTCTTTTCGTTTCCTTTGGGGCTATGATTTATCGCGCTGTTTTTTCACGATGATGAAAAAAATGCATTCAAAATCTGTTAATATCTTAGCCACAATGAAATTGAACTACACAAGTTAAACGTTCTGATAAGTACGTTTTGCATATGAAAATTTACCAATATTTGTAGTACCTCTCAAACCATTACTTGATTGTACAACATAGAAGTTACAGAATGCAAATAAAAATATATTTTTTTCATTTAAAGAAGACTAATTGCTTTTTACTTACGGTACTTTGTCAAAATTTATTAATTATTTTTTTGGCTAAATTGTTAAAAAAAAAATAATAATAACTTGAGCAAACTCCTTAACTAAACAAAATGATTTTTTTTTTTAATTTGTCCCTTCTATTAGAGTTTCATTGAGAAGACGGAAAAGCCCATGAAAATACTATCAATTGCTATTAGTAATCATGTTTTCCTAAATTGATAGAATAAAGAGGATTCGAGAGGACTTTTATTGGTTTTTTCATCAATCTCTCGTCAGGACCCTAACGGAAGAGATGCATTCAAAAATCATATTATTTAGGGAGTCAACAGGCTTTTTTAAGGGAAAATGGTAAAACTCATCCTTATATTATAGGGTCATTATCCAATCTATATATTCTTATATTCTAAAATAAATCAATTATATTTTTAATGAGTTTTTAATATATTTTTTAATAATTTTTTTCATAAAATTATAAAAGAATATCACGTGATTTACACATAATTATTTTTATATTAAAAATATCTCTCAAATGAATAGATACATGAAAATCACATGTACGACATGTATTCAGGTTATGTGAATTTTTGGTGAATTAGCAAGTTTGTGGTGTTAGACTTAGATTTTGATGAATATAGGGTACTTGAAGTGGTGAGTGGCGGGAAAATAGAAGAACAGTGAAGAAAAGTGGAGGGTATCATAATGGTTGGTGGGTTAGGGCTTGACTTGGGTTGGAAAGAGGTGAGGTAAAAGTGGAAAAGGTCTGTTTTAATGTGTAGATCAACGGGTTAGGAATGGATTTTGGCTGAAATATGAAGGCTGTGGGGGTGGCTGGAAAAGTAACTGGAGTGGTTGTTTTGACGTAATTTCTACTGAATTTTTATAGGGGAAGAAGAATAAGAAGAGAAAAGAAGAAGAAAAATGGGTTTAGTGCTTGTCTTTGGTCGGCTTCCCACAAAGTTAGGAGAGAGGTTGGTGATGGATTGATAACTTGAGGGATATTTTCAAAATAAAATTAGCTAGATGTAAATCATATGATGTAAATTTTATGATGGTTTTATCGAAAAAATCGTTCGTATTAAAGAATCATCGTAAAATCTACTTGTAATTTAGTCATTCTAGTTCTTTTTTTATTTATTTTGATTTTTTGTTGCAAGAAATAGAAAAAGAAAAAAATATGAAAAGATTAATGAAAAAATAAGAGATTTTATGAAATAAAAATAATATGAAATTAAACATGCTAAAGACTTATTAAATGAATAAATAATTAAAAAAGAATAAATAATAGTTTTTAAAACAAAGGGGACTAATTAATTTATTTCTAGAAACTAGAGGGACTAATTTATGATTTACCATGTAACAATCCTATCACTATCCGTATCTTACTCTTTAGAGTGTTGAATTTACCCATTTGTTCGAATGGTAACCTCCACCCCTTGATCTTATCTTCGTATTGAGTAGAAACTCCCTAACTATTACCATCGGGATACCGCGAAGTGATAGAGGAGGAACTGGTGTGAGAGTGGGAGTAAAACTCATACGTATGTGATTTAAGGCCATACACTCTTTGTTTCTTCTTTCTTCCTACAACATCTAAATATATTTTGATCATATCGATATTTGGAAACGATAAATCACCTTCATATTGCTCCGTAGCACTCACTTTTTGCATTAAGTGTATAAGCTCTTGCATTATTGAAATAATTATAATATTAAATTATAAAGATATTTTTTAGATTATATTGATAGATGTATATTTACAAAAATAAGAAACTTATTATTGTTGTCCGGAATCACTAATCGACTAATGATCCATCTTTCTACTTGTGATTGATCATGAACAACTTGCAAGGATTTGAAGTATGACCCAATTTATTATGCTAAAAAAAATAGACAAAATAAATTGAGATGTAATAAATACAAGAATTAATTTATAAAAAAATAGATAATAGGATTTACTAAACGTCAAGCGTACCCAATCAAAGAGATAGACCTCTCTCTCTGTATGCCTAGATGGGTAGGCATTAACATCATCCATCTTCGACATGTAATTCCAAAACACCTGCTAAGATCGAGCCTCAAATCGAGGCATGGCCCAATCCTGGTGTAATGCTTGCCACACCTATTATTTTACGGACGTGGGTATGTTAGTCTTATGCTTCGACTTGTTCGGCATGTCGCTATATAGCCTTTGTATCGGACTCTCCCATGCATCTTTAATCGGTGTGTCGACGACCACATCCAATAAAAAGTGCTTCTCTATGAAAAAAATAATATCAATTCATTTCATATTAAATTAATCCTTTAAATAAAATATAAATAAATAATTAAAATGTTACCATGAACTCATTAAAGTATAAGTCTTTCATCTCCTTATAAACAAACTTCCATTTTGAGCCAACAACATCCAATCCTTATTTGAAAATTAATTTTGATTTTTATGAAGCACTTACTTGATGGA